GCCCCGCCCCGCCGCGGCGGGCCAATCAGCGTCTCCTCCGAGACAGGGAGCCGCGGCGGGGCGGGGGGGCCGCAGCGGCCCGCGAGCCCACTCAGTTTCGAATTCCGCCGGTGAGCCGAGCGCCTGTCCAATAGGGCGGCAGAAGCGAAGCCGCGTCCTGCTCGGGCCCCGCTCCCGGGGGCGGGGCCGTTAGCTTCCCCGCCTAGCGGTTGGTCGGCGGGAACGGCCGCTCCGTGACGCCCGCGCCGGTTTAGTTGATTGGTTACGCTCAGGCGCGAAATGTAACGCGGGAAAATCTGGGGCTTGGCCTGGGCTGTGGGCGCGGAGGGGTCGCGGCGGCGGCTCCGGCTCCTCCTCGGGCATCGCCGGGACCGGAGCTGCCAGCGGGGCCGGCGCCGCTTCGGAAAGGTGCGGGGAGGCTGCGGCTGCTTCACCCCGGTCGTTGCTATGGCCGGGGTCCGCCGCTGACTTTGCGGATCCGCTCGGGGCTGGCCGCGGAGGTGGGGGGGGGGAAGGCACCGAGACCCCGCCGGGAGCCGCCGTCCCCGGCGATGAGCGGCTGAGGCGGGCCCGGGCGGCGACAGGTGGCGGCGACCGCGGGACCTCCGTGCCGCTCCGCAACCCCCCCCACCCCGGGACGCGGGCTCGGACAGCGGGGCTGAGCCGCCGCGGAGCGCCCCCGCCGCCTCGCTCCCCGCTTCCCGCGCCGCTGCCCGCCAGGGGTCGGCGATGGCGGAGCGGCTGCCGCCGGCTCCCCCGGTGATTTTTTGCCAGGGCTCCCCGAAGCGCGTCCTGGTTTCTGTTATCAAAACCACCCCGATCAAGCCCTCCTCGCGGGGGGGCGGCGAGGAGCCGGTGGCCGCCCCGCCCGTCCCCACCAGCCCCGGCTTCAGCGACTTCATGGTCTACCCCTGGCGCTGGGGCGAGAACGCCCACAACGTGACCCTCAGCCCCGGCGGCACCGCCGCCCCCTCGGCCCTCCCGCCGCCCCGCGGGGGAGCGGGC